TTCCACATTTTCACAACTCTCACTGTGAAGAAACCTTTCCGTGTTTGGAGATTACATTTCTTTTCCTCCATACTTAAAGAGTGCCCCCTTGTCCTCTACACCGAGGTCACTATATGAGCCACTGATGTATTTATTAATCTCCTCTTTTCAAGAGAGAATAAATTCAGTTCCTCTAATATTTCCTCATAGCTGATCTCCTCCATGCCTCTTATCAGTTTGGTTGCCCTTCTCTGTACTTTTCTCCAGTTCCCCAATGTTCTTTTTGTGAATTGGTGCCCAAAACTGAACTGCATATTCCAGATGAGGACTAATGATTTGTATCGGGGTAATATGATATCTTTCGCTGGAGTCTATACCTCATTTAATACAAGATAGGATTTTGCTTGCTTTAGAAACTGCAGCTTTGCATTGCATGCCATTATTAAGCTTGTGATCTACCAGTCTCCCAGATCCTTCTCCACCATTGATTCCCCCAGTTGTACTCCCCCTAGTATGTATGATGCATGCATATTCTTAGCCCCCAAGTGCATAACCTTACATTTATCAACATTAAACCTCGTTTGCCACATAGTTGCCCAATTAAACAGTGCATTGAGGTCAACTTGGAAGTTGGAGACATCCTGTAAGGACGTTATTACACTGCAAAGCTTGGTGTCATCTGGAAAGACTGGAATGGGATTTTTAATCCCAGACCCTATATCATTTATAAATATATTAAAAAGTAAGGATGTCAACACTGAACCTTGGGGTTCGCCACTGAAAACCCTAGACCATTCAGAGTATGGATCATTAACCACTACTCTCTGAATATGATCTTTTAGCCAGTTTTCTATCCATTTACATACCGATTTTCCCAAGCCCGTAGACTTTACCTTACACATTAGCCGTGTGTGGGGAACTGTGTCAAACGCTTTTGCAAAATCCAAGTATACCACCACCCCTCTGTCCAAGGTTTTTCTCACCTCCTCATAAAAAGAAATTAGATTTGTCTTTCATGAATCCATGCTGTCTGTTGCATAAAATATTTTTTTCCAGCAAGAACTCCTCTATGTGGTGTTTTATTAAACTCTCCAGTATCTTCCCAACTATAGAAGTTAAACTAACAGGTCTATAATTACTTGGTAAAGATTTTGACCCCTTTTTAAATATTGGCACCACATTTGTCTTACGCCAATCCAGTGGTACTATGCTAGTCATTAAAGAGTCCTAAAAAATTAGAAACAATGGCTTTGAAATGACAGAGCTCAATTCTTTAAGGACCCGTGGGTGTATGCCATCCAGTCCAGGTGCTTTATTCACCTTTATTCTGTCTAAATATTTCTGGATCATATCAATTGTAAGCCAATGTGGATCATCTGGATCTGTGTCAATACCATTCCCATTATGGACAAGAGCTCCCCCATGCTCCTTTGTATACAAATGTATTAAATAAATTTGCCTTCTCTTTGTCCCCAGTCACCCACTCTAAGATATTTTATAAAGGGCCTACATGCTCGGACCAAACCTTTTTACTATTAATATATTTGAAGAATTTTTTGGGGTTGGTCCTGCTATCTCTTGCAATCTGTCGTTCTTTTTCAATTTTTGCAGCCTTTATTTCCTTTTTGCATATTCTGTTATATTCTTTGTAATGTTTAAACGATGATAGCATTCCTTCATTTTTATATTTAATAAAAGCTCTTTTCTTAATATCTATAGCTTTTTTAACTTTGGCCGTAAGCCACATAGGTTTGATTTTTAGCCTTTTAAACTTGTTGCCCATGGGAATATATTTTGCAGTGTGTTCCCCCATACAGTCTTTTTGAAGAACTTCCACTTCTGTGTTGTGTTCATTGATGCCAATATTCCCTCCCAGTCTAAGTCTTGGAGAGCATCTCTCCAAGTGGGTGAAGCTGAATTAAAAAAATGGCAAGACCTACGTGGAGAAGAACCCCCAGATGCACTAAGTGTGGTGACATCCATTGTGATCTATGAAATACACAATTCAGATTCCATATGAGATGACATCCAATGAGATCTACAACATAATCCCATTCAAATTCAGCAAGTGCGGTGGTGTCCTTTGAGATCTATGAGATTCTCCATTGAGATTCAGAAAGTGTTGTGATGTCCTTTGAGACCTACAAGATGCTCTATCAAGATCTACAAGTCTCTCTGCTGGGGTAGAAGATGGAACTTCAATTACAGATTCTGTAAACAGATCTATGAATGAATGACATGGCTATTTGGGCTGAGCCAAATAATAGAAATGACAGGAGCCTGCGGAGAGAAGAACCCCTAGATTCAGTAAGTGTGGTGATATCCTTTGAGATCTAAGAAATTCTCCATTTAGATTTCATTCAAGATAACATCTACTTGAGATTTACGAGATGCCCCATTCAGATTCAGTAAGTGTGGCGACGTCCATTGAGTTCTTTGAAATGCTATATTCAGATTCAGTATGTGCAGTGACATCCACAGAGATGTACAAGGTGCTCTGTTGGGATCTATGAGTTTCTTT